CCACCTACAATGGTGTGTTTACCATTCCCAACACCTTACCACCACACCGTCCATATAACCACCACATCAATTTACTCCCTAACACAAAACCTATCCAAGTTAGACCCTACCACTACCCACATTTCCAAAAGAGCGAAATTGAAAAATTATGTCAGGAAATGCTATCAGCAGGAATCATTCGCCCTAGCCAATCCTCATTCAGTTCTCATGTCCTACTGGTGAAAAAGAAAGACGGTACTTGACGATTTTGTGTGGATTACAGGGCCTTAAATGCAATCACTGTCAGAGATCAATTTCCTATACCAACTGTAGATGAATTGTTGGACGAACTTCACGGGGCAACAATTTTCTCCAAACTTGATCTCTGATCTGGTTACCACCAAATTCGCATGCACTCCGAGGATATTCATAAGACAGCATTCAGAACACACCACAACCACTTTGAATTTATGGTTCTTCCATTTGGGCTGTCAAATGCTCCTTCCACTTTTCAGGCAACAATGAATGATGTTTTTGCACCACTCCTCCGACGTTTTGTGGTCATATTCTTTGATGACATCTTAGTGTTCAGCCCAACATTACAAACACACGTCAATCATTTACGTCAAGTCCTGGATATATTGAGGAAACACCAATTGTATGCGAAACTTTCAAAATGTTCATTTGCGACATCCTCTATTCAGTTCTTGGGACACATTGTCTTTAGTGCAGGTGTCGCACCTGACCAAGATAAAGTCATCGTCGTTTCAGCATGGCCTACTCCCACTGCGGTCACTCTGGTTCGAGCATTCCTAGGGCTTTCAGGATACTATCGAAAATTTATTAAAGGGTATGCAAAAATAGCTTCTACAATCACTGATCTCCTCACAAAGGGCAAATTTTATTGGACATAAGAAGCTAACAAGGCCTTTCTGGAATTAAAAAAGTGCCTTACTGAAGCACCGATTCTCACTTTGCCTGACTTTAGAAAGCAATTTATAATCAAAGCAGATGCATCAGGAACAGGTATAGGAGCCGTATTGCTCCAAGATGGAAAGGCAGTAGCGTATTTTAGTAAGAAACTCTCCCCACGCATGCAAACTCAATCAACTTATATAAGGGAGATGTATGCTATTACGTCGGCAGTAAGCAAACGGCGTCAATACCTCTTAGGATCCAGTTTCGTCATACGAACGGACCATAAGAGCTTGCACCACCTGATGAATCAAGTGATACAGACACCAGAACAACAACAATTTCTGGCAAAGTTACTGGGGTATAATTTTACGATCACTTTTAAATCAGGCATTACTAATGCAGTTGCGGATGGTCTATCCAGACAGCTACCAGGGGATATTGGGTCCCCATCTGCGCACCTCACATCACTCTCCACACCACAAACTCACTATGTTTCCGTATTACAGAAGGAGCTACACAACGATACCTATGCTACAAAAATAATAGGGGAGATACAGTCATCCAAAGTAAAAAAGGGGAACTGGGATATTCAAAATGGTCTACTGTTGCATAGAGTCCGCATATTTATTCCCGAAAAATCTTCCTTGATCCCCAGTTTGCTGCAAGAATTCCACTCTTCACCCATAGGAGGACATGCTGGAGTCCGTCGCACCTTATCCTGCGTGTGCACGTTTTATACCTGGAAAACAGTACGGAGAGATGTTCAGGAGTTTGTGAAATTTTGCGACATATGCCAAATAGTAAAGCCCATAAATCACTCACCGTATGGTCTGCTACAACCACTTGAAACGCCAAAGGAAATCTGGTCTGAGCTAACAATGGACTTCATCACCCATTTGCCACCAGTCCAAGGATACTCTGTTATTCTCGTTGTGGTCGATCGATTGACAAAAGGTGCTCATTTTATTCCACTGCCAAGCTCCTACACAGCCACCAAAGTCGCACAAGCTTTCTGGGATAATGTCGGCAAGTTGCATGGACCACCCAAATCCATTATCAGTGACCGTGACCCAATCTTTGTCAGTGCTTTCTGGAAATCTCTGTTTCAACTCCAGGGAACACAACTCCGCTACAGTTCTGCATACCACTCACAAACAGATGGTCAAACAGAGAGGGTCAACAGAACGTTAGAACAATATCTCAGAGCTTATACATGTGAAAAACAGAAGGAGTGGTTAAAGCACCTACCCTTGGCAGAATATCACTACAACACAGCATACAACCGCAACATAGGCACATCTCCATTCGAAGCAACGTATGGCAAACCACCTCCGTGCTCCTTGCGGTACTCGTTGGGCATGTCATCCTTGGAAGCTGTGGACTCCACACTTGACCAAAGAATGGTAGTCATGAAAAATCTTCGTGAGCATTTAATGAAGGCAAAACAAACCATGAAAACACACGCTGACAAAAAGAGGCGAGACTTTACCTTTCAACCAGGAGATTTAGCCCTTCTTCGTCTACAGCCATATCGTCAGCTTTCCCTACGACACAGATCATCACACAAGTTAGCACCAAAATTCTTTGGTCCATACACAGTTGCAGAAAAGATAGGCAAGGTCGCTTACCGTTTACATCTTCCACCAGAAGCCAAGTTACACCCGGTTTTCCACATCTCACTGCTACGGCCATTTCATCATCGAACTGATAAACCAGTCCCCACCTTTCCATTAGCGGTGGAACAGAGTGAGTTGGAACACACACCAAGTGCAATATTGGCCACCCGAACAATTTGGCGTCAAGGCAAACCCAGAAAACAACTTCTGGTACAGTGGTCTCATTTACCACAAGAGGCTACCACTTGGGAAGATGAAGAAGAAATGGAAACTTGGAACGGTGAGGAAGCTCTGCACAACTCAAAGGCAAAGAAAGAGACTCAAGAAGGGGAGCTACATGGGGAGAAGACACAACTAAATGACAACGCTGGAAGGGGTAAGGAGATAGCAGGCAACGGCTCGACCATTAATGACTCCAACCGCTCAGCTGCACCACACATAAATGCATCCACCCACTCAGCTGCAATTGATAAGTCACGCACATTGACCGAGGAGTCACATGGGGCAGGCGCCCTTAGTGATAAGGCTGATCCCTTTGGAGCCAATCAGTTTTTTCCCAAGGGATTTCGGACCAATGCCATAGCGCCACATCAACCTGCTCCTTCACACATCCAGGCTGCACCAAACCACGTTGATCCCGTCGCTGCTGAAAGGACTTGGGCCGTCGATCCCACTGCAAGACCCGCGACAGATATCATTGAGCTTGAGGACAAGCTCTTTCCTGATGGGCAAGGGAGTGTAGCAGGCCCAGATAATGAGAGGTCCAAACGCATGACAAAGCCACCGGCCCATCTCCAAGATTATGTTTAAAGCTTTATTAGCTAGGAGTCTTTACTTTTCTTATTTAATAATTATGCAATTATCAGTTTGTTAGTTAGTTGCAGATAGGAATAATCCTTAAGTTATCCTTATCTTCAATTTGTTATTTTTATTTCCAGTAGTTAGTTAGTAGCTGGCATTCCTTAGCCATTAGGTTGTTATTTGTTTTACTATAAAAATCCTGGAAAAGATCAATAAAAGTCATTGGATGTTTTGATCGCAATTCTTTCTTCCTAAATTTCTCTCCTCTCTTATTCTTTTCTCTTAATTCTACGAAATTCCCCTTCAGAGACAGTCATTAATCCTTGCAAATTGCCAGAAGTTACATATATCGTAGAGTCAATTGCCAAATGATGGGGTTGATTACGGAGTATAATAAGAATAAAACTAAGAAACAAAGATGAGTGCACCCTCAGTTCAGAGGATCTCGATGAGGATGATGATAACGATATATTATCACTTTATCAGATATATACTAATATTATAAATTTAATTAATGAGATTTGGGTTTGAAGTTTTCTCAACATTCTTTTCTCCCTTTTTCTTCACATATTTTGATATGTCATCATTGAAAATAATAATAATTAATACTTAGCATAAGCGATTTGCGCATTGATTCGTTTTGTTTTCTTCTTAATAATCTTTTAATTACTCAAACTGTGGGCGTGGCGCTGTTAGTTCTAATATATATTTGCCGTTTTTAAAAAATATATATATATATATATTTGCCAAAAAAAAAAAAAAAGTGAAACCTAATGTATCTATCGAATCTATTTGGTAAAGATTAGGACAATCAATCGTATCATGCATATTTTTCCCTTCTAAACTTTAGTTTTACATGGACGGGAACGAATATTTACCAAAACAGAAAGAACTCTCTCGAGTTCATCCTAAATATATTCATGTGACTACCTGATGCTAAAGTGCCGCCACCCATATTATCAGTTTTATCACAATCGGAGGCTACACTCAATCTTGTTCAATGTAATTATACTGGCTTTTTGACCTATGTAACGTCATTAAAAAAATAAAATTCCAATTTAATGCCGTAGAATTTGTATCGTCCACTAACTAAATTAATCTCAGTTTCGAAATAATGTAGATTCTGAAAATTAGCATTAAATTTTATTATAAATAAATAAAAATTAATATCTTAAATAATTTTAATTTGTCTAGCCTATTTTTTAGAATTTTTACAAATTTAAAAAATATTAAAATTTATTATTAATAATGACGACTTAATGATTAATTTTTTTCCTTTCCATTTTCAGAGGATCAAATCACGTGAATAAATTTTAATACTAAATTTGCCCTACTAGCGATATTGAAGGATTTTTTTTGTGCCACGTGAGTTAGCAACACCAATCTCGCTAGTGCGCCCAGTAGTCTTGATAATGAATTCGGAAACTGCATTAATTTGAATTTATTTATTTTTAATGACATTACATAGGTGAAAATGCCTATGAATGCTCCTGAAGGGACCTAACATCCATGACATACGTCAAATCATGTTCAACCCATCAAAGATGTTGCCAGATAGGACTCTCTCATCCTATCTGCTTTTCTAAAATTTCAACCCTTCATGGGCCATTCAGGAACAAAGTAGTCCTCATGAGTCAGTATAAATAGGCATCTAGTTCTCATTGTTCATCAACTAATTCCCATAATATGGATAATATTATATTGAAGCATACAATATTCCACATTTTGGCTTTTATACTGTTTCTATCATTGAAGCCTGCTATTTCTTCTAGAGATAGCCAATGGGGTTTTGGGAGGAAATTGGGCTCTGTGAATAATGGTGATCTTGTGACCAATTTGCCTGGCCAGCCTCCTGTAGATTTCCAGCACTACGCTGGATATGTTACAGTCAATGGAACCAATGGAAGAGCACTCTTTTATTGGTTCTATGAGGCCATGACTAAGCCTGAAGACAAACCATTGGTGCTGTGGCTTAATGGAGGTATGATCATGCTATATATATGGTGGTTAATTAGAATATAAACTATAATGTCTTTCTTGCAATGTGTGACATAGTATAAATAAATAATAAAAAAAATATATTGGGACTTTGGACCTCATTGTCATAACTCATAACAAAATTTTTATTTTGATTTTTCTTAATTGAGTGGTGGGGGGAGGGTATGAGGTGACTTTTATTTTCAACTCATTTCAAAAAGTTAACGATCCTGCTCATTTCATTTGCTGTTTTTTCTTTCGACATATGTTCTCTGCCAAGGTGGCATAACGTGCTTTTTTTTTTGTTCTAGGTCCTGGATGCTCTTCTGTGGGATATGGAGCGACACAGGAAATTGGCCCATTTTTAGTGGACACCAATGGCAAGGGCCTTAAATTAAATAATTTCTCTTGGAACAAAGGTACCAAGACCACAAACATATATATTATATGGTTCGTCATTTCTCCTTTTGCTGCTGATGAGAAAAGTTGTAGCAAATTATTAATACTATGATACGGGTCGTATCCTGACCTAAAAACAAAAAAAACACATCAGGATTCGGACGCGTATCCTGATAAAAATAAGTGTTGCTGCACTTTTACCCATCTGCAGTGACAGAAGAAGTATATAACCCATATTATATATACGTTATTTTACCTTTTTTTTTCTTGACTACTTTACTCATCTTCAATATTATTGGATCAGAATCTCAAGAAGAAAGAGAGAGTGAGATTCTGATCCAATAATATTGAAGATGAGTAGATAAGAAAAAAAATAAAAATAAAATAACCTATCTCATTATATTATACTTTTTGGCACAGTCCACCTCACTGCTTTCTATGCCAATATATAAAATTCTGATGAAACCATACATCAATTCTCCATTATTTGTCCCTACAGAGAAATTATTAAATGATGCTTATAATTCTTGATTTATGTGAAATTTGATAATGCAGAAGCCAACATGTTATTCCTGGAATCTCCTGTTGGAGTTGGCTTTTCCTACTCAAATACAACCAGTGAATATGCACAACTGGGAGATGACTTCACAGGTCCTAATATCTTTTTTGCATAATGAGTCTTTTACTATTTTATCTTCAAAGCCGGTTACATTTTTTTTTAATTTTTCCGAGCTTATACAAAATTTAATAGTGCTCTATCGACTGTTTGAAACAGCTAATGATGCTTACACTTTTCTGCACAATTGGTTCCTCAAATTTCCATCATATCGAACTAGGACATTTTACATAGCAGGGGAAAGCTATGCAGGTACTGAAATTAACAACAGATCATTGAACCTGTCACTTTTTGTCCTCTAAATTGATCATGAAACATGTTTTTCAGGAAAGTATGTACCGGAGCTGGCTGAACTCATCCACGATAGGAACAAGGACCCTTCCCTTCATATTAATCTCAAGGGCATTTTGGTATGGTCCTACATAATTTAAAAATATAATTTAAATTGCTAAAAAAAAAATCAAAGCCTAAAGAATCTTGCTTTACTAAGAATATTCCCCTTGTAGTATAGCATGTCTATACTTTATTTCATTGGTATAATTTGAAAATTAGATCAATTACTGAAAAGTCACATAATGTTCTACCAACTGAGCATTTTGCAAAGAAAATTAAGTATTTGTACTCAATAATTACGATTCAGAGTTTCAGTTCTGGTAGTTTGTGGATTCAATCCTTCTCATTTGGCACTAGGCACAATAGATTGGAAATAACATAAATATGAAGGACACAAAATTATCCTTTTTTTTTTTTTTGCAGCTGGGAAATCCTCAAACATCTGATGCTGAGGATTGGTTAGGTTTGGTTGATTATGCTTGGAGTCATGCAGTGATATCTGATGAGACTCACAAAACAATCAGAAGAAGTTGTGACTTTAACAGCAATGATCCATGGAGTAATAAAGATTGTAATGAAGGAGTGGCCGAAGTAATGAAACAGTACAACGAAATTGATATCTACAGCCTCTACACTTCTGTCTGCTTTGCCAGTACAGCGCGTGCAAACGATCAATCTATGCAAACGCCAAAGCGTTTATCTAAAATGGTGTGTGAAGAAAACATTATAAGACAGATCCTCACACATATGACAACATATTAAGTTTAACAACATGCATAGCATTCATACATTTGTAAATTCATATTAAGAATTATATTTAAAAGTAAGTGTAAATATGACATAATATTTTAAAATTGGATCCACTTTTTTTTTATCATATATATGTGTGTATGTGTATGTGTATGTGTAGTGCTGTTCTGACACTTTCTTTTGGATTTGGTTGACTAGATGCCTAGGATCATGGGTGGTTATGATCCATGTCTAGATGACTATGCTAAAGTTTTTTATAATAGACCGGATGTTCAGAAGGCCCTCCATGTCAGTGATGGTCACAATCTGAAGAATTGGAGTATTTGCAAGTACATACTATACCATTTTCACTTTCTTTTGGCCATGTTAGAGTAAGAGTGATCAAAATGTTATTTTTTTGGCAAAATTTTTACCCAATTAACATGTGAACACGTGTCATAATTCACTACCACTGGTAGCGAATTTCGTGGCCAATGATTTCATGACACGTGGTCATGTTGCAGACCAAATTCGCTACCACTGGTAGCGAATTATGACACGTCAGCTTTTTCTTGCGAAAGTGTGCCACATATCACAAAATCATTAGCGAACGTAATTTGCTACCGGTCGTCGAATTATGACACGTGACAGTCTGATAAAAAATATTGTTCGCGTGACATTTGGATAAAATTTTTGCCAAAAAATGACATTTTGGTAACTGTTCCCGATGTCAGAAGTGTATAAAGTTTAAATATCTTTATTTGTTTATGATGTGAAAAAGTAGTAGAATATTTGGTTGTCTTTTCTCTAAATTTACACTTGTTAATTTAAAACAGCAACGACATATTTGAGGGCTGGGCACAATCAAAGCCTTCTGTTATCCCAATTTACAGGAAGCTTATTTCAGCAGGACTTAGGATTTGGGTTTACAGGTAAATTCTAGTTAATGTCAACCTGCACACATTCTAGGCCCTGTGGTGCAACATTAACATTTTCTCATGGTTTCTTTGTCTTTTCATTTTTGACCGTTCAGTGGAGACACTGATGGTAGGGTGCCAGTGCTGTCCACAAGATACAGCTTAAAAATTCTAGATTTGCCTATCACTAAGCGATGGAGGCCTTGGTACCATAAAAAGGAGGTAAGGGATCATGAATTGAAGGCATATTGCTTCATTTTCTTTTGCGGAAAATATCTTGTCCTTATCTTGGATTATAGTATAAAAAGCCATTAATTTAACACCTTTTAAAGACATGCTTCACCGAAGGTGTTAAATGTTGTAGTAAGTCTCATGAAAATAACAAAAAATATAAACATTTAGTAAAAATATTTGCAGGGTAAGAACACTTCACACTCAACTAACTAATGATGTTAAAAGAGTACCTAATTGAGGAGTATAACTATGTACTTAGCTTAATTTTAATGATTAAAAGTTGTTAAACTGAAAAACATTTCTACAAAAAAAGAGAGAGTAAATACTCTTTTTGGTCCTCAACAAATTTCACGATGCCCGCTTTAGTCCCTAGCAAATTAAAAGGTTATTTGTGGTCCCTAAGAAATTCAAAATGAATCCATTTAGTTTAAATTGTGGTACCTCACAAATTTAAAAAATACCCACATTAGTCCTTCAAAAGGACTAAATGGGTCCACTTTGAATTTCTTAGGGATCACTAATATTTTTTTTATTTGCTAGGGACTAAAACGGATTAACTGAGGACTGAAAAAAGTATTTACTCAGCAAAAAAATAAGGGAGGGGGGATAATTTTGTAATGCCTTTAGCAAAAGAGGAAGAGGATTAATAATTATCTTTAACATTATGAGGGTTTCAGTTGGGCAATATTTCTGTATAGAAAATAACTCAATTGGGTTTGCTATCATCTATTCAATTTCTAATGATATATTCTCCTTGGAACAGGTTAGTGGGTGGTATCAAGAATATGAGGGCCTTACATTTGCGACATTTCGAGGAGCTGGCCATGCAGTGCCTAGTTTTAAACCAAGCAACTCACTGGAATTCTTCTCCTCCTTCCTTCTTGGAGAATCCCCACCGTCTACGAAATAAGAATCAAGACTGTGATATTGGGTAGTCTTTGTGAACCCCTGAAGGAAGATTTTTGCTCTTACGTGGCAACACTAGTTGTCCATTTTATCAAAATGTTGAGTAGCAAGTACAAATACTATAATGAATAAAAGAGTAATACTGATTTCGATTGACCAAAGCTAAATCTTATTTTTATCTTCTAATGCAACATACTATAGTAGCTATTGTCTCATCTTATTATCTAGGTCTCTTACACTGTTTCACGCGCATAAATCGAATTGTGTGCTTCGTTAATTCTTGTATAAGCAAATGAAATATATTATATTTAGGAGATTTGAAGTCAAATATTCCTCTGCGTCTCTGGTTTTTCCTTTTCTTTTTGGCAGAACAATTTCCACCTTAGCTTGAATTTAATAATACATTCATATAGTTTAATGAGCTGGATGATAATGTTAAATAAGATCCTAGTCCTATTATTAACATCAATGAATTTTGCTATCTATTTCCTAATGAATGAATGTTGCAGAAGACTTATGGGTCGTTGATATTTGAAACGGAAATGTTAGCTTTTTCTATCAATATATTAGTCATTGAATAATACCGATGCCATTTTTTAATTTTTAAAATATCATACTCGCATTATACTATATTAATGGAATTTATTAATATTCGAATATCTATTAAATTGCTCATTGCACTTGGAAGGTGTACACAACAGAGAACATAACAATACAAGGTTGACAATATTCACAGATAATAGTCCCAAGATGAAATGGTTGGACTTGGATCATAGTACATTATAAGTTATAACTATAATACACACTTAAAGTAACACTAAAATATCTTGGGTTTACATCATACAAAACACACACAGCATTTATTGGTAGCTAGAATACACAGTACAAGATTTTCCCTTTTTTTCTCCATCCTTCTCCTCTTCCTCAATTGATTTAAATGAAGTGAGGCCCAGTTTTAGGTGCAGTAAACGCCATTTCATATCCATTACTTAAGGTTAGTGCAGAAACTTGATGTGCAGTGCAATTTATCCTGTTATTATGTTTGAATGAGAAATTGAACTGGAGTTTTGTTATTGCATATTTCTTCTTTGGAGATGGATGAAGAGTGAGACGATTTGGAGTTTTACTTACAGGAAGATATATTGCTTTGTTTATATCCTCCACCATCTCTGTATTGGAGTCAAATCTGTTTCTGGAATTGAAAAACATCTCAAAAACTTTCAAACATGACAGATGGAGCTGCCTGCTAGGCTTAGGAAAATCACAGAGTCCATCAATCAGAACATGTTCAAGTAACTCCTTCTTCTTTTTCTCAATTACCTCTCTTATAAAAGCAATTGATTCTTCAACATCAAGTTCTGGGTTCTCTATCAACTTGACTAAAACAGAATTCAATTTTCCTCCTTCTTTTTCCTTCTGCAGAGGCACATATAAGCATTAGATTCCAACAAGAATAGATAACCCAATCAAATAAATATAAATTCACCCTAAATATAATATAATGTGAACTATAACTTGGGGTTTGTTGGTTGACTGAACTAGTTTGTTTACCTGATAGCTCTGTACATCATTTAATAGACGAGAAATAACCATTAGCAGCTTTGTTATGGGTTCATATTGTATTGGCACAAGTTTCTCAGTTGGTAAGCTTGGTTTCAGAAAGCATGAGGCTGGAAGAACCAAGTTATGTGTGGCAATAGAGATCATGCCGGTCTTCAGGTAACAATCAATGGATGGTTTGTATCCATTTCTGCTCCACTTTGCTTCTATGAGCCACGAAAGGAAAGTTTCATACCACTTCACAGGGGTGATACAGGGTCCAATGTTATTAATCTGAGCATGAAGTTCATAACAATATTTTGAAAACTTTAGATATATTTATAATTCTTACTAGATCTTTCAAGTTGCCTGACATATCAGTTGTTCCTCCTTGTTGGAGATATTTGCTAGTAGCTTCACTCACAAGGTTATCAAGGGCATCAAATATAACTTTGCTGTGGCTGCTTAAGCCCCTGGAATCCCATCTATAGTTTAAAAAAAAAAGGTGTTTACATGAAAGAGATTTTAACATTCTGAAGAATGCATCTTCTGTTGAATAGACTTCATCACAAGCAATCAGTTTTTGAATGTGTTGTGTGTGAGAAAAATAGAGAGAGAGAAATTTGGTGTACCTTCCAACTGCATCCGTGAGAAATTCCAGTTCAGTGAGAGACCCGATCATATCATAGAAATCATCTGCCACTGTGACTATAATTGCACTCTTAGCTACAAACATTCGTATGTAAGAGTCATGAGGGAGGGATGTGCTAGCAGCAATAGCAAAGTAACAATAAGTGGTTTTCTCTCTGCCAAATCCCATATTACTTATCCCACAGTTTTCACACCACCTATATATCAAAAGTCAAATGCAAGGCACCACCAAAAGCCAATTACGTAATTATATTCAAATTTTGAAAATAGTGATTTCTTGATAAAATAAAATAAAATAACAGAAATTGTACTAGACCTCTTCAGTTCCTTCAGCTCATTTTTGTATACTGATTGCTTAAAATCAAAGTTTTGAGTGGCAAGCTGTAGCAGTTGATTGTTATAGAAATATGATACCCTACAAATAGAGAATTGTCTCATCCCAATATGTTAAAGTGGGAAATAAATAAGTAGAAGTGGAACTGTATATATGCATTTATATGCATACCTATTATATGATGCCTTTCCTTTCCACAGAGCATTGGCTTCTTTTTCTTCTATCCACATTCTATGCTCTAAATGATCCAGGCGAGCAAACCATGGGAGATTCAATTCATGCTCCATCTACAAAAGCAAGCATGACTGTCTTAAAGTTGGAATTTTTATTACTGTATATATTATGAGAAAGGTTATATTTACAAACTTTTTTATTTACAAACACTATGCTCTTCTAGGAGAACACTAGGTTACACTATTTTCTCCCGGGATAACATAGTGTATTTGTAAAAAAAGTTTGTAAACGGATCCTTCTCCATATATTATTACTATAAAGGTATAGGTTGTGAAGGAATAAATCTTTTAACAAAAGTAGCTTAAATGGAATGACTTATAACATCAATCTCAAGATATTCAACAAAAATTTCGTTAGGATGACTATCTATGAAGTCTAAGTGTTCCAGCAAGTGTCTTGGCACTGATTGGTTTTCAAAATCAGAAGCTTTTTTAATCTTCAGTGACTGTAAATGATTTGCTTCCTCCATAGTTACTGATTTTGGCACTAGCTTCTTACATAGTTGACTGACTTTTGGCACTGGCTTTCCAATTTTTCTGGCTCCACTACTATCTAAGTGGTTGCAATTCTTAAAGAATTAAAAATGATGAGTTTGTTATTGCAAACCTAATCACTTTAATGTTTCGTTAATTAAGAAAATAATCATATATATTCCATTTTTCTTTTTTTGTCTCTGCAAAAATTTAAGAGGTGAACTCTCCACATCCTTCTATTTCAATTTTGTCCATTAAAACTATTTACCGAAGAAAACATTAAACTTCAACAGAAATTATATAAAAGTCATGCAAAGGTTCACACAGAAACAAAATCCAAATTGTATACAAAGTTCGAATAAAATGACTGGTGTTATAAATTCGGACATAAATGGTCAGCAAATAGAACTTGGACTATTTTGTGTAAGGTTGAACAAATTGACCTGTCGTCGGTCTCCATTTCTTGCTGAAACGATTTTCTCAAGAATTTTCCTTGAAAAGTTTTTAGCTTCCTCGAGTTCGTATTCTCCACTGAACATTAGGTTTGAGGCTCTAAAGACATGAAGCATTGTACTTGAGAAATGCTCATAATCTTTCTCAACTTGACCTCGAATTTCATCGTGACTTAGAAACCAACAAAAGCTTACTGCATATAAAACAAATTTTTTAATTAAAGTCAGTTTGGTATGTGGGTAAAAATAAGAGTCAAATATTTGAAAATAAGTTTTTTTTAAAGGAAATTTGTATTAAAAACTGGGGAAAATTTCAAAAAAACCCTAGGTAGTGTTTGGTTGAAGGTTTATTTTAGGATTGATGGGAAAGTGTAGGTGGATATTGGAAAATACCACGTTTGGTTCAGGTTTTTTCAAGAAATACCAGACAAATAGGATAGATGAGAAAATGACTTTTGAGTTGATTTTTGGATGAAATTCACTGTTACAGAATACCACTTGAGATGTGGTATTGTGAGATGACTGGGGAAGTGAAAAAACAGGTGCAAAGTTTCTCCCAAACATAGATTTTGCATATTTAAATAAATTTCCCTGGTAATATTTAGGTCAACCAAACAACTTTTTTTATATTTTCCTATCAAACTCACTTTCCAACCATTTTTCTATCAATTACATTTCCCTAGTAAAAAAAAATTTCTCCCGAACCAAACACTACCCTACAAGTTTCCTCAAAATCACTTAACCCCCTCCCTAAAATTTTTAATCATTTACCCCTTTACTTAATTTTTTTTTTATCACTTACTTCCCTAATTTGATTTTTCATCCAAAATTTTGTTAAAAGATTGAATTTAAAAAAAAAAAATACCAAAATTACCCTTAATAGAAAAAAGAAAAACATAATTTCTTCTCCAACACAATTTTAGACGAATTCACGGAATATTTTCTTTAAGATAGCCTTGTTAGAATTAGTAATTATTAAAATTGTTTCCTGCAAATCTCATTGCTATTAAACACCGTACTCATAATTGTTGGTGCTGTTGTTCAAATAAAATGATTAAAAATTTCAAGGGAGGGGTTAAGTGATTTTGAGTAAACTTATAGGAGTTTTTTTTAAGTTTTCCCTTAAAACTATTACTTTTAAGCGGTGGCAAGTTTTTTTCGTTTTGATAATACTTGATATTGTGAATGATTTACATCTTAGGGAGTTATTAGTGGACGATTCTATTGAGTATCATGTTGGTTTCTTTGCAATCAACTCGTTGATATTTTTAGCCCATGTATAATGACTTACAAGAATTTGGCATACTGGTTTTATTAAGTTTTTAATTTTATACATGAAATACGATTTTGGAAGTTGTATTGCTTGTGGGTTCCTGGAATTCGAACATAAACCTAGATTCAGATTGAGAATTTGCCTAAAGTCATATTTGTTGTTCATATAATAGCAGAAAAACTTATAACAGAAAAGAGAAGATCTAAATCTGCTGAGATGATGCCTCTTTAATCATTTTATTTGAACAACGGCACCAACAATTGTGAGTACGGTGTTTAATAGGAATGAAATTTGTAGAAAATAATTTTAATAATTACTAATTCTAACAAGGCTACCTTAAAGAAAACATTCCGTGAGTTCGTCTAAAATTGTGTCAGTGAAGATATTATGTTTTTCTTTTTTTCTATTAAGGGTGATTTGATATTTTTTTAAAAATTTAACTCTGTTAACAAAATTTTGGATGAAAAATTAAATTAGGGGTAAGTGTTAAAAAAAATTAAGTAAGGAGGTAAACGATTAAAAATTTCGAGAAGAGAGTTAAATGATTTTGAAAAAACTTGTAAGAGAATTTTTGAAATTTTCCCTAAAAACTAAACCAGAAATTGTTTGGCCGCATTTTGTCTCCATACCAAATTGACCCTAACAAGTTAAAGCTTAGTCGTTTGTAATTAAATAACGCAGAGCCAACACAATCATCACAATTGGCTAAGAGTTTGGTTAAGGGTGTGGGTTCAAACTCTCCTGGTCGATATCAGAATTTTATTGATAGATGATATGTAATCTCTTCTGAAAATTATTCTTAGAGAGATTGAGGATTTTTTTCTGCCCCTGGTGAGATACTGATAAACTTTTTATATCCAAAAAAAAATTAAAAAAATAACGCCAATATAAAGGCCATACATGGTGATACTTTGTATCCATGCGTGCGCAGGAGCTGAAATGCGAGAGAATCCTTGTGAAGAAGCTGCGCCGCATTATAATTGGATGCTTTTTCCCTTGAATTTTGCTCCTTGTAATTTCTAAAAAAAGCAAAAAATGACAAATTTAATTTGGGTAGTCAGAAAAATTATTAAAAAAATATGTATTGCCTTTTATAGAATTATTTTTTTAAGATAAATTTATCTCAGTTTAAGAATCAAGTAGTATTTTTGTATGACCTTATCAAATTAATTATTATTACTCTAATTTCATGCAAATAGGACTGGTCAAATTTGATATGGGTTTTACCTATAAACTTGTGCCAAAAGTACTTCAATCTCTCCTGCGAAGTACTCGCTCAACCCCAACTTCTGTAATTGGTTGACGATGCAGAGCTTTATAAGGTTCTCATCCATGGGATAAGCTTGTGGAACTGCAGGGGAATTTTTTTAATTTTTTTAATTTTAAAAAAGGTCAAAATGAACAAGAAGAAAACTTCTTACTTTCCGAGCTCCTTGATTTAATTATTAAATATCTTTAGATAGAACATATATATAATTAAAGCTATATATAAACCTCCGTTTGGACATTTTTGTGCTAAGGACTGTAAATACGTGAGGCATTCTTTCTTCCCAGTAGCCATGAATGCTTTTGCAGTGGCAGAGGGAGATTGGAACAATGAGCCATCTCTGCTCAAATTGCTACATATATCCTCTTCGCTAACATATGACGGAGGCAAAGCTTCAAGGTACGAGAGTATTGGAGGGTAACAATGTAAATCCCCTACTTCCAGCTCCCTACATGTTTAAGCAATTAATTGTACAGTATTTTTAGTGCATTTTCTTATCTAAAAATTTCAAGTTAATTAATAAGCATTTCGAAATACGAGTATATAGATGTATATGTACTTGTTAAGAAAACTTTTCCGACAGCTAATGATGTACGACATCGTATCCTTTGCGGCTTCTGGGAGGACAACATCCAAACCCGTTGTATCGGCAAGTTCAACCATGGCAGGCAGCACAATAGCGAACCAACGAGGGCAAGCATCTTTGACTTCACTGAGTAGCTTATCCGCATTTGCACCAATAAATGACCGTCCTACAAGTTCAAAAAATTAAACCATATTCTAATCAACTTAAATAACTAAATTAGTTAGTTATGTAACGCCGAGCGATAACCATATAAATAACCAATAAATTAGTTATCTTATAAGATATGAAACATATATTCCCCTAGAGTTTTATAAAAGTTATGTTGTAGGAAAAGTAATTGTGTAATGTTATAGAGATTCGTTTTGCGTGCTATAATTTTTTTTTTTCCTTTTTTCTTCAAAAAATGTGAGCCCCACAAAATATTGTGTGTGTAAGAAAGTTTGTTGTGTCATGTTAAATGACAAATGCAAATCTCTAAAAAAATTCGTATTTACCAATCTATGTTTTTAACCGAATTTTGTCCATAAAAAATACTCACGGAAATATTGACGGCCATCAATTAACGGTTTTTCAAAGGGGTTACTCACGGAAGGAATCTTTCAACAATAAAATATGCGTATGTAAATCCACGAAAATTCTTAATTCTAGTCCGCACCGTTTTCAGAGTATTTTTTTTTTTGGTAATGTTTTCCTCCTTTTACATGACACAAGCAATCTTCTTACACAAACATAAAAGTGGGCCCATCAATTCTTTTACTTTTCTTTTATTTTAAAAATAGTGGACCCCTCAATCTCTTGTCTCTATGACATGACCTAAGAACTTTCCTACAACATAATATTAGTTTTTCCCTTCTTTTTTTTTTGGTAATCTGTTTTCAGAGTATCTTTATTACGTGGAGATTTCTGTCAAACAAAAATGCACATCCAACAAGATACAGCAAGCCCTCTCAAATTTTTGAAAGTATCTTTATTACGTGAAAGGATCCTTGGGCAAAAGATCAATTGTTAATATTAAAAAGTTGTATAAAAATCAGAATTTGTGAAAAATAAATATTGTTTTAGGTTTGTGCATGGAGGACATGCATTGTTACTTTTAAACAGTAATCGCTATTGATAACTATACTACTAATTTAGAATATTAATAAAATAATAATATATTTTGGGAAGCTGAAATAATATAAATAAGTTAACATTTTTTCTACAACTCTAAAATAACGTAATTTTAGAATTTGAAAAAAAAATACAAGAATTTTAGTAAAATCTATAATATAAAAAGAAAAATAAATTTTTTTTAAAATATCTTGTATTTTTTTTTTTCCAGATCCTTTTATTTTGGATTGTTATATATATATACCTTTCTCTACCATTGACGCGCCAGTTTTCCAATTTGTGAGTGCAACCATGGAAACAAGGGTTGCAGGAAGGGATTCAATGGTGGGTTTACCAAAGGTGTCACTCTCTCCCCAAAACCCTTCCGGTTTCTGGTTGTTCAGCAACCACTCCAAGAAATTCTTAAACATAGGTTGGGAAGGATATTGGGGGTTAGGTATTAACGCTAACCATGCAGTATCATAAGCAGAAGGACATACAAAGGAGTAGAGATCAAAGTCCGAGGAGAATATGTTTCTCTTGATCTTTTGAACTCCACTCTCAATGGAGGATAAAGGAAATTCCATTTCAAATATTCAAAGACATAGGAGTATAAGGAATTAGAAAGCCGAAGTTTTGCTCGCTAATCTATAGTTTGAGTAATATTTTTAAGCAAAATGTTGTATTTATAATGATTTGCAATGCATGAATTTTGTTTTGTCTCGTGTTGCACGTTGGCTTCATAACTCTACATGCAGAAAGTCGTCACAGGTCTATCAAAAAAAAAAAAAAAAAAGTCATCACATGTCTCTTTACTCGAATATGAACTTAGGACTCGGGGGGAGCACTCAACAAGTCATATTTTGGCTTACTCAGATCATTAATTATGTGATGATGTCACTAATTACATCATGACAAAAGATTTTTTTTTTTTAAATAAACCCCTCACATAATCTAATATTAACATACTCAAACTCCATACTACTAGACCAATATTAGTGACTTATGACAAAAGAATTCTAACTTTATTTATTATTATTTTTATTTTAAAGACATGTTTTGTCTATCCCAGAATTTAAAGGAATGGCAAAAAAAAATTGAACTACAAATTTCCCACTAAATAAGTAAATGACAAATATATAAATTTATTAATTTCTCATATGGAGACTAGTGTAGCATCGCAGTGGCAGATTCAAGAAATTTTTTTTATAAAAGACAAAAAATCAAATATTTGTAAAATTTGAGAAGAGAATAAAAGCAAGTATGAGGTTTAGCAGATTTTGGGATTTGTTTGCTTGAAAGCATGAAGCAATGTAATTATTCCAAAGCCAGCAAATCTCTCAACAGTTTCCTCACTTTCCTGCAGAGTTGAGAAAATAGCCTGATCCAGTACCTCTCTCTCAAAGCTGTGGCTTTTGTATATGCTAATAAGCATATTATTATTTAATTAGTTTTTGTACTAACTACAGTTAGTAGTAACCTTGGTTAGTGAATTTGTTTTACTGATTGTAACTATAGTTAGGTTGATAGGTGGCAGACTTACTTGACCTTTTCTCCACTTCTTGATGATTTTTCTGATCTCCGTATTGCTCTCTTTAATAAACGTGATGTACGAATTTACTATTTGAATCAATTGAAGACTCGTTCAGTTCTTTGGTTCTGGTTTCTTGTTATAAGATGGTATCAGGAGAAATTTGAGATTTGATAAATTAAATAAAAGTTGAAAGAATTTTGATCCAAACCAAAGGAAAATACTAGTTTTCCTACACAGAATTTTGCATAAAAATTCATTCGAGTATAAAAGTTAGTTGGGTATTGTTTCCCTTTAAAAATAACATAATTGTATTTCCAAACTAGTTTTTTAGTCTCACCATTTTATCAAAGGGCCGTTTGTTTCAGGTGAAAAATTTTCTTACCATAGAAATGTAATTATCAGGAACGTGCAAGAAAAGTTAGTTAGGTGAAAAAGTTAAAAAAAAAGTTATTTAGTTGGGCCAAATATTACTAGGCAAATTGATTAAAGTTCTTGAAATTTATATTTGGTTGTGAATAAAATATTGATAGGTAAATGATATAAAATTACAAAAGTAACCCCATAATAAATTTTTAATATTAAAACAAGTGGCCATGCACATGACAACACAACACAAAAGTAATCTCATAATAATTTTGGTCTACTTTTGATCGCCCATGTTTTCATTTAGCCGGCTAAATACACAATATCATGCCCAACTTGTCTTTCACAACAGTTAATTATGCTTGCCTTTCACAACATTTTCTAAATTGCTATGCAAATACAATGGATGGGAAAATATTTTGAAACTATGTACCAAATATGGATGTCATAGATTGCCAATATCATATGCACAAGAAACTATTCCAAAGTCTTGAACCAAACGCCTCTTTTAGAGATTGGATAGAGCTGGGGTGCTTAGTTACAAGTTTCCCATCACTTATATGCTGATTATTGGGTGAATATTAACTTCTATGCCCATCATTATTGGATGAATAAGCTTTTTTGGTTTGTAATCTGAACTATTTTTTTCTGCTTATATTCTCTTCTGATAAGTGACTCTAAGGCCAAGTTTACATTTCCTTTATAGTTTTATTAACCACATGATCACACTTTCTAAAGTTTTATTTATGGAAAAAATGTTTGTCATTTTAAATGACATAAAGTTATGTCATTTTAAGAGAGAGATAGACATAAAAAAAAATTATTTACATTTTAAAATTTAAAAAAATCACTCACTTTCTCTCTCTCTCATGATTTTCACTTTTCTGTGTGTATCTCTCTCCTAAAATGATATAACTTATGTCATTTAAAATGACAAACATCAAATCTTTTATTTATTATTGCTATTAATAAAAGTAAAAAGAGGGACTGCTTGTTTTCTTTTTCTTATGTACCGCGTATCAAATAAAGCAAGAAACTGATAAAAGAACAAATAATTGAGACAGTAGCCTAAAGGAAAAGGCACATGGTAGCAATAAAGTCACAAGCTTCAGGTAAAACTTCCATTTTGAGGAGATAATTGTGCCTAATACTACTTTAATCAAGAAAATTTCTTTAGTTATATGGGTGCACCGAGTTTTCGGTGCATCTTTCATTCATAATGTGACACACAGTGATGAGAGTGGGCTGGGCTGGGTCAAGCTTTGCTCCGAAAAACCCAAGCCTACGTCAAAAAATTTCAATTTGACCTGATCCAAGTCTAGTATGAGTATAACGGTTAGCCTGGCTTGACCCGTTTATAAAAAAAACAAATGGCCTAGCTTGGTCTGTTAGCCTGTTAATTTTTAACTTCCAAGCAGAACCATGAATCAACTTTACAAAGTATTCAAATTCTGTTGATACACCAAAAATCATAATTTCAACGTCCAAACAGAATCTTGAATTATAACAAAACTCATACAATATGCATTTAAGTCATTTTCAAAAGCAAAATGTTCAAACTAAATAACATATATTTCATCAGATCCAACAAACAAATCCATATTACGTAAATTAAAATAACTACATGAATTAAAATAACTACATGAATCCAACAAACACATCATGATGTTTGTAGTAAGTATAACTTCTCCCAAAAATCTTTTAATATATTCATATACATAATCTAACATGTTGAGATGTTGGTTCCTATTATATAAGAAATAAAGTAAGATTTCTATTAAAATATAATCGAATATAATTAAGTTATAAATAATTGTAATTGATTAAATTTATATCTTTTGTTTTTTCTTCAATACTTACTCTATTTTATTTAAAATAAATAGTACAATATAGGCCGGCCTGTAAGATTATACGCCCGGCCTTTTGAAAGTGGGCCTACGACCTTTTTATTAAACATGCTTTTTTAAGGCCCAAGCCCGACCTATTATACAAAATATACTAGGTCAGGTCTGGCCTGATGTAGGCCGAGTCGTAGGCCCCTGTAAGCCAGCCCGGCCCAGTTTCACCCCTAGTGACAGATGTCTTACTTAATATCAAATTATTCTCTTACTTGATTTTTAAATAAATTATTTATTAATAATTTGATAAAAATAAGACACTTATCATATTGTGAGTGAAAGATACATTAAAAATTCGGTTACTAAGGAATAAAAATATTCTCCTTAATCAGAGGAGGATTCAAACATAATCTGTTGAAGACTCTTCCAATTTCCTTGACTATCGTTTTTTTGTCTCCCCCATAACCTTAACTTGGGGGGGCTCACCCTAGGCCCACCAACACCTACCTTGGGTCTACCCTTGGTAACACGGACGATGTTCATTTCTCATATTAAATGCTGCTATTTGGCCCGTTAGATAAAGAGCCCACGTTATTCTGAGTCCCATTTGGAATTCGTTATTAATACGGACGACGTTCATTCCAATGGCAAATTCCATTTATACACGACGGAATGATTACGATCTTGATTTTGACAAGAAATGAATTTCAATCGACATAACTTATGTTTAAAAATTCTTAGGTGAATAGTTACTTTTCCAGAGTAACTATTGAAAGAATTTTAATTAAAATTATTTTTAAATATATAATCACAAAAAATGTCATTTGCTATTGCACGGTCTATATTATTGTTTTATTTCATTTTATTACTTTTAACTCGTACTCGGCAAATATAATTATCATTGTTATAATATATATTTTTTCTTTTAGGGCTATTTTTAATTTTAAAAAGTATGGATCATATTTCAAGTCTTAAAAATAATGACCCTTATTAAAAAATAAACATCCATAGAAATTTTATGAATTACAAAAAAGGGAAAATAAATCTTATGTTGTAAAAAAATCCTAATCTTATATCATAAATACATCAAATATGGAACCTATCTATTTTACAAAAATAAAATATAAAAAAAAATAACACACCTTTTTATAATATATATAGAAAGAGATTGTTATCTTATACACGAAGAAAACAAACCCTTTACAAAAAATTAGGGAAAAGTACCATTTTAAAATTTTTGAGCAAAAGAATCGCTCAGTTAAAGTTGATTGGATAAGTTTTTCTAAAGTAATGCAGTCAAACATGTCACATATGCTGACGGGACTAGTCTCGTCACTGACACTGACGGGACTCGTGCCACGTCAGAGCCACGTAGGCAGTTTTGTTACCATAAAACTTCAGAAGACCATAACTTGTGACTCGGGTATCCAAATCAGATGATTTTTTTTTGATTTCATATAAATTTTTGAAATCTACGCAATGACATCTCATTTGACATATTTTATCACACACGAACATAATTTGAATTGGTAACAATTGTACCACAATCACGCGTTTAAATTCAGAAGATCTTCAAACTATGTTTGTGGGAGATAAAATATGTCAAATTAGGTGTTATTGAGTAGATCTCGAAAATTTATGTAAAATAAAAAAAACATTATCTGATTTGGATACCCGAGTCCCAAGTTATGACCTTCCGAAGTTTTACGATAATGGGACTGCCTACGTGGCGCTGACGTGGCACGAGTCCCGTCAGTGTCAGTGACGGGACTAGTACCGTCAGCATATGTGACATGTTTGACTGCATTACTTTAGAAAAACTTATCCAATCAACTTTAACTGAACAATTCTT